CTTTAGAAGACTCCTTTACAGATTCTAATCCCTGCCTCCCTCTCTCTCCTTCTTTCTTTTTCAGATGCATTGTGGATAATCGAGTGACGCGGGTAGCTTGGCTGAACCGCAGCAGTATTCTTTACGCGGGCAATGACAAGTGGTGTTTGGACCCCCGAGTGGAGCTTATTGCCAACACCAAAACCCATTATGCCATCCGGATAAATGACGTGGATGTGTATGACGAGGGACCTTATACATGCTCAGTACAGACGGACAATCACCCCAAAACCTCGCGGGTCCATCTCATTGTGCAAGGTAAGGCTTTGTGGGAGACGCTTGCTCTGGTCAGCTCCACCCTGGAGGGAAGACTTCAGATGCACAATCCAAGAAGGTGTCACACTCTGGAATATGACAAGGAGCCTTCAAATAAAGATCAAACGCGCCTATGACATTTAGTGCTCCAGCTGCTGCTGCAGCAGCTCTGGGGAATTAATGTCCCTTTGTAGAATTCAGAGTAGTTGATGTTCTCCTTTTGTGGCAGTCTGAAAAACACAGCAATCTTCTGACCAGATGAGTAGTTGCCCTTCAGGCCATGGTGTCAAACTCGCCGTGTCGCATGACGTGTCGCGGCTTATCGTGACTTTTTTCCCCTTGCCGGAGCTGAGGTGGGCATGGTTTCTGCGTGACACATGCTGCAGTTTGACACCCCTGCCGTAGATGGTTTTAGAATTTTTTATTTTTTTTTGTCTCCAGAGCAACCCAAAAAATCGAAGTTCAGGGATAATTTCCCACCATTGGGGAGCCAAGAAGTAGATAAGCAAAACTAAACCTATCACAACAGTTTGAACTCCAGATATTTCACAGTGGACAAAAAAAGGGGAGGCTGAAATTTATGGTCCTGGCTCAACTGCATTACTGTGATTCCCCACGGCTGTTATCCACAAGCCCCTTGCTGTAAAAGAAGTATTCACTGTAGAGTTGTGAAACTAGCTATCCTTTGTCCTATGGGCTTAGGATCCCCAATCTTTTCTTAGTTCCACCATTTTTCTAGATTAGGGGTGAGTTACCAAAGGTCTCATAGTTACATGCATTCCTCAACCTCCATTTTATATCCTTGGGTTACCTCGACTTCCAGAACATTAGCAGTGGAGGTTCCCATTAGTTTCTGCTAGCACACACATGAACGTCATAGTACAGCTCAACATAGAAATTTAAACCCTGGATAGCACTAGCAATAGCACTTGGACTTATACACCACTTCATAGTGCTTTACAGCACTCTCTAAGTGGTTTACAGAGCATGTTGCCCCCAACAATCTGGGCCCTCCCTTCAAGATTTCCTACAAATCCAGAAACATGCAGAAAATCCTGCCATCAACCAAGCGCGTGAAAAAAGCTCTACTTATTTTTCCATATTGTTCCACCAATAATAATCTTCTCTCTCTCTCTCCCTCCCTCTCTCTCTCTCACACACACGCACACACACGCACACACACACACACACACACACACACACACACACACAGAGAGAGAGAGAGAGAGAGAGAGAGTATTGGGTGTCAGTCTCTAAAGATTGCCTGCCCCTGTTGTGATCAGTAAGATTTAGGTCTGATTCAGTTTTTCTGTGGTTAATGAAGGAGGATCTACTTGTGTGGAATAGACCAAGTTTCATTCCTGCCCATTCCAAATAGGAAATGTTTAAATATTTGTGAAATGTTTTGAGATTTAAGGGTTTTCCCTTTTTGAGCAGGGGGTTGGACTAGACGACCTCCAAGGTCCCTTTCCAACTCTTGTTATTTTGTTATTCTGAGATGACAGTGAGGATGACAAAGATGATTAGGCTAAGGATTTCTTCTTACCTTACCATCAATCATTTCTCTTGAGCTTTTCTTGGTAGCCCCTTTAATAGAGCTAGGAAATTGAGTCTTTGTGTTCCAACTAGGGGTAATTTTCAAATGCTGATGAATACATCAGTTTGGAAACAACCTGGCTTAAGAAAGACGTTGGTTTTGTACACCAAGTTGGGCTGAGCTAACCTGCAGCCAATAGGCTAGACCAGGGGTCTTCAAATTTGGCCCTTTTATGACTTGTGGACTTCAACTCCCAGAATTCTTCAGCCAGCGTGCCTGGCTGAGGAATTCTGGGAGTTGAAGTCCACAAGTCATAAAAGGACCAAGTATGAAGACCCCTGGGCTAGACTATATGTTGGGAAAATCAGGAGATTCTGGCAGTTCAAATGAGTATAAAGATTTATTGCAAGCTTAAGCTCTCTACAAGAATCTGAACTACTAGCGGTCAAGGGAAATGAGCAGGAGATAAGAAAGGAATTCCAAGTGGGCTGGACTCAGATCTCTTGTGGATGCACAGGGACTCATGACTGATCATGTGTTTGACCTCTCCCTCAGGCTCAGTTTGATGTCTCCTACACCATGTATGTCACTGAGCAACCAATGATTCCCAAGCATTTTTCTAACATCTTCCTCCCCTTCCTTCCTTCCTTTTAAAGCAACCAAGAAAAAAATAGAGCAAATGTTCTCCTCCAAGCATACATCTTTGTACTCATGAAACAACTAACAAATGTGTTTCCAATCTTGGCATTTTCTGTTATCTTTCAAACTTAGGGCATCTGTTTGCAATTCATGCATCAAAGCTGATCACATTAAAAAAAATCAAAGCTATAAAAATCATGGAAGTTGGAGAGTAGTAATTACTAACCTATCCTTTCTGAACCTCTGGTATTTAAAATCAATCGTGGGTCTGTTTGTTGTTTTAGTGTTTTATTATTTCACTTTCTTCTCTTCATAAATAATTGTGGAAGGAAGATAGATGGTTTCCTCAAGAGAGCAACACGTTCTGTCAGTGGAAGGTATTACAAGGTCTTGTTCTTTGAAGGAGGAGGGTAACTAGTTATCTAGACTGAAAGTTGCTTTTGCTTGACTTTGAAGTTAATTGGAACTGGGAGCATTCAGAATATTGTAATACCTAGGAAAGGTATGTTCGTATGTGGCTTTCGACATCTTGTAAATAAATTGCGGCCATCTCTGAAGCAGACTGAAAAAACAACAACTGTGGAACCATAAAAAAATCATAACTATTTAATTTACTAAGATAGTTTTTTTTTGTTTTCGTTTTAATGGCAGAGTTCACAAATCTTCCAGGCATTTCCAAACCGTTGTCTCAGGTGCCGCACAACTTATCTAATTGTGCTGTGCTCAATAACAGATGGACGAATAAATTTCAGGCTACAAAGACCAGAAAGACAGTTTTATTTGTTGTTCTTTGCCCCATTGAGAGAAATGTTGCCAAATGAATGCAGCTACTTGCATTGTTAGAGATGTGCTCTGAAAATCTCTGGGGAAAAGCTTTAATGACCAGCCAAACTGTCTAAACTTTGCTCTGTCTTGGTCCTCTGAAATGCAGCCCCTCCCTCCTGGGAATCCAGACTACATTCCACCACAGCTAACTAGCCTTTAGTACAGTGTAAAATCCCAAGCCTTGTATTACCTTAGGCCAAACTTTTTAACATGTATTCTGCATCAGACACATATGTCAAATTGAGGATTGTTAGGGGGCACAGTGGCCTAGCCGTTAAGATGCTGGGCTTGTCAACTGGAAGACTGATAGTTTGAGACCCAAGCACTATGTGATGGAGTGAGCTCCTGTCCTTGCTCCAGCTCCTGCCCACCTAGCAGTTCGAAAGCATGAAAATGCGAGTAGAGAAATAGGTACCACTTTGGTGGGAAGNAGGGCGCGGCGGAAGGAAGGGAGATCAGGGATCACCCTGATCTCTGGGGGTAGTTCATTCCAGAGGGTGGGAGCTCCCACAGAGAAGGCCCTCCCCCTTGGGGTCGCCAGCCGGCACTGTCTGGCCGACGGCACCCTGAGGAGACCCACCCTGTGGGAGCGTACAGGCCGATGGGAGGTAATCTGCGGCAGGAGGCGGTTTCGAAGATATCCAGGTCCGATGCCATGGAGCGCTTTAAAGATGATGGTCAGCACCTTGAAGCGCACCCGGAAGGCCACCGGCAGCCAATGCAGCTCGCGCAGCAGCGGTGTTACATGGGAGCGACGAGTCCCTCCCAACACCGCCCGGCCGGCCGCATTTTGGACTAGCTGGAGCCTCCGGGTGCTCCTCAAGGGGAGCCCCATGTAGAGAGCATGTTGAGACTCTAGAAAGAGTACAGAGAAGAGCATCAAAGATGATCAGGGGACTGGAGGCTAAAACATGTGAAGAACGGTTGTTAGAATTGGGTATGTCTAGTTTAACGAAGAGAAGGACAAGGGGGGACATGATAGCAGTGTTCCAATATCTCAGGGGCTGCCACAAAGAAGAGGGAGTCAAGCTATTCTCCAAGGCGCCTGAAGGCAGGACAAGAAGCAATGGATGGAAACTAAACAAGGAGAGAAGCATCCTGGAACTAAGGAGAAACTTCCTGACAGTTAGAACAATTAACCAGAGGAACAACCTGCCTCCAGAAGCGGTGACTGCTCCAACACTGGAAGTTTTTAAGAAGAGACTGGACAGCCATCTGTCCAAAATGGTGTAGGGTTTCTTGCCTGAGCAGGGGGTTGGACTAGATGACCTCCAAGGTCCCTTCCATCATCATCATCATCATCATCATCATCATCATCATCATCATCATCATCATCATCATCATCATCATCATCATCATCATTATTATTATTATTATTATTATTATTATTATTATTATTATTATTATTATTATTATTATTATATAAAAACTACCCTGCGGGAACCCTGTTTCATTTCCAAAACAATACATAATATATATTCATTGTAACATTTGTTGTTGTTGTTAATTGCGAAGTCGTGTCCGAACATAGGCACTGCTTTATCTCTTTCCTTTGCAATATCTGGTAGTGATATTTACAAAGTGATATTTGTCTTTTTCAGTGAAAGATGTAGGGGTGGGGGAACATAATTGTCTGATAATAATCTTTCATGGTTCCGAAAATATTCCTCACCATCTGCTGTGGATGAAATAACAGGCTGTTCCCTGCACGATTCCTCAGTGCAAGTATATTTGAGGGGAGATGTTATTCTTCGCCCTCTTTTACCACTCCATTCATGGCCACCAGAAGCAGGAGAGGCGCTGTGTCTTTTTTTTCCCCCTTGAATTTAAGGGGGTTGGGAAGTCACAAGCACAACAGACATTTTAATGCTATCAAATTTACCTACTTTCCTTGAATAGCCATCCAACAATAACAGGGCACATAACCACTTCATTCTGCAGGGGATTAAGGAAAGAAATGATGGCTATTTTAGCTGGTGACCCGCAGCAGTGACATATTTTA